TTAATGAGACAGAAGGAAAAAAAATGAAAACTGGGACTAATTCTTTCAACTATATTTGGTTAATTTAACTGTAGTTAAAATTTAATGTAAATTAGATTGAATGAAATTAAATTTTGATCTTCATCTTTTGTCCTCACCCTGCCCTTTTTAAAAAAATAATGCAGTCTTCCTCACTCTATCACTTAACTTTAAAAAAAAAAATTATCCCTATCTCATACCAAATTTCAGTAACCAATTTGTTATAGAAAGCAACATTGCCATGTTAATGAAGATTTTTACATCATAAGAAATTCCAGTAATGCTGACGTAATTACCATGTTTATAATATGGTGACTTTATTTTATCTTGCAGCTACCACTACACAGTATGTTCAGAAGTTATTCTATTGCTGTCTGACAGACAAGGACATTGAAACAGAGTCATTGGAAATCAAAGCAAAGTAGACTTTTTGGGACAATTACTACACATATAAAGTGGATGTATAAAATTCAAACAGCTGGAAATATTCCTTTGTAGAACAAACCAAGAAATATATAACTGTACTGGGCAACATTTTGCAGGATTTTTTCCAGACTACGTTACTTTATCCACCTTTTCTTTATTGTTATCAATTTGAGGAACTTCTTCATGCCTGTTTCCTATATAACAATTACAGATTGATATTGTATCAAGGCAAGCACTTATAATGTGCTAGGGATTTAGAGTTTCCCGTAAAAGTGATATAGATAACAACCAAATAGGAAGGAAAAGTTAAAATAATGGCAGGATGGAAGGTGTCCAAATTATTTGGTGGATGAATATAACTAGTCTGCATCAGTGGAGTTCATCTTGTGTCACTGAGTCAAAGAAATCCATGAAGGGTATCAGTGGAGACACTGTATGTCTTTGTACTGGTGCCTAATGTTTAGGTTCAATATTGAAACATCTAATGTTACTGTCACTGTAATAGCACAGTGTGCCTTTTCTCCTTGGAGAATAATGTAATATAGAAAAAAATATAATTAGTAGGGAATCTTGCTGTTAGCAGCATCTTCAGAAGAGAAATGAGAGCTGTTGACATATCAGGAGTTCTATTAGTGATTCTGTAAATAACAGTTGTGACTCCAGTATCAGGCTGTCAGTGAGAACTATGTATGCCACACTATCATATTTTCTTCTAAAACTTCAACTATCTGTAATATTGTAAAATACTGTATGTGCATGAATCAATCAACATTTTTATTTTCATTCAGTCCAAATGTTTTATATATTTTTTAAAAATGCATGCTGTATTGCTAGATGACTGTCAAACTTACTTCAGTTTTGAATAAACCTGAGTTTTAAATAACTCCTTTGTGTGCCAGTGTGTATGTAACTGAAGAATCATAATTCCCAGAATTTATGAATGTATAAAGCTTTTTCTAGAACAGAACTAAAGTGAATTTCATCCCAAAGATTCCCTACAAAATTCTGCACCTGAAATTTATACAGGGATGTTCATTCAACACATGCAAGTTTATAAAATATCACATTCTGCTGGATTTAAAATAAGCTTTAGTTTTATTTTCTCTAGACCAGGGCTTTTCAACCAGTGGTACGGGTACCACCTGTGGTACATTGGCACCTGGCAGGTGGTACGCGACCATCCTAGAAAAGTGGTAGCGGGGGAGGGGAATGAGCTGAACCGGTGGCAGCACCACACAAGCCTGAGCGAGAGATGGCTGGAGCTGCAGGGCTGTCAGGGCTCAGCGGAAGCATCAGGATCAGTGCCGCTTTCCAGCTGATCAGCACTTCTTGGGGCTGTCAGGGCTCAGTGGAAGCACCAGGATCAGCGCCAGGCTCCAGCTGGAGCTCGGCGCTAATCCTGGCACTTCTGCTGAGCCCAGAAGAAGCGCCGATCAGCTGGAATGTTGCAGCATCTCCAGGGTCTGATTTACATTCAGATGCTTGGCAACTGATTCATATTTATGATGGTCACAGTGTCCCAGGGTCATGTGAAGTGACCAAAACCTGCTGCAACCACCCAGCAGATGGGTGGAATAAAAACCAAACACCTCCCACCCCATCTCCACTGTCAATCCCCAACAGAAATGCTCACAACAATGAAAACCTCGAACAGAAGGAAGAGCGCCGCTGGGTGGGCAGGCAGATGTCTTGCTCGGCTGTGGCTTGGGGGGCACTTTTTTCAGTGCCACTGTAACTTCGAACAGTCATTAAGCGAACTGTTGTAAGTCGAGGACTACCTGTACTTTATCACTTTTTTCCTTTTTTGGGGGGTCATCAAGTTTTTGACACCTTGCTAGGCATGGTACAATGGGTGAAAAGGTTGAAAAGCCCTGCTCTAGACCACTAGAATAGAGCAATAGTAGCTTAATTCATTTTTTTTCTGAAGTCAGGAAAAAAAGGTACTGTGATATTTTTGCAACAATTTGTAAAGTGCCATACTTGAATCCAAAATCTTTTTCTGGAGAATGAAAGAATTTGTGGAGTTTAGTGTGCAGTCCTACAAAAAAATATTCAATCCATCTAGATATTTCTTCCTATTAATCTCACAAGTTTACCAGGCTTTTAAAAGACATTTTAAAGGATGTTTCTCACAGTGATTGGACAGAGATGAACCACAATGGTAGGTAATGCTAAAACAAGCTAGTTGTTCAACCAAACTTAAAAGCATTAATTTTCACTCTTGAAAATATATTTCTGACATTCCTCTTTTCCTCTCTTTTTCTGATCTATTCTTTCCTATGGATTAGTACTTCTTTTTTAAATATTGCAAAGTAGTTGCAAAGTAACCAAACTATATATCAGTATTGTATTTAATTATGGCATATTTTTAGTTCACCCTAAGTCTGTTTTTGGTCCCTGAAGATGTTCTTTGGTCAGTCATCTGCACAGGAGTGCAGCTTTTTTTGGACTGAAAGAGAAAGGAAGAAAGGAGATTAAGATTGACCCAGGATCATTTGTTCTAAATCTTCAAACATAGAATATTGTATGTCATATCTAGATAAATAAATGTGTTCTTTATTAAACACCAAATACACAATGGCAGCATTCTTAGCATTAATAATACTGTTGAAAAGTTCATTTGTTCCCAGATTCATATTAAGGTTATGGGAACATTGAGTAATTTTTGAGAAATGGGTGTAATGTTTTCTTTGTAATAAAAGAAAAGTAGCTTTCTGGGAAGAAATAAAAGACCAAAATTGGCAGATAAAACCATATACAGAATGGTCCTATGATAACAGATTTGCCACACATTATATGATGGAACAGAAAAGCTATTTTACTGCAAGAAAGGATTTTCAGAAAAGGCTTATATACAAATGTCTGTGCATTTGCACAGTAATATAACAGAAATATAGCTAACATTTTACAAATGATACTAGCATATGAATTCAGGAAATAAAGGGCACATTTGTAGATGACACTCTGTTAGATCATTGTTTTTGTGCATAGGTATATAAGTGTAAATACTGATCTGATTCCTGTTTAGCAATAATAGTGATTCATGTGTTATATTGAAATATGGACATGTATTCCCTTGGGGTTGTTAATAATAATAATAATAATAATAATAATAATAATAATAATAATAATAATAATAATAATAATAATAACAACAACAACAACAACAATAATAATAACAATAATAATGATAAAGTTGGAAGGGACCTCGGAGGTCATCTAGTCCAACCTCCTGCTCAGGCAGGAAACCCTATACCATTTCGGACAAATGGCTGTCCAGTTTCTTCTTAAAAACTTCCAGTGTTGGCGCATTCACCGCTTCTGGAGGCAGGTTGCTCCACTGGTTAATTGTTCTAACTGTCAGGAAGTTTCTCCTTAGTTCTAGGTTGCTTCTCTCCTTGATTAGTTTCCATCCATTGCTTCTTGTCCAAGAAGACCCAGATTAAAATTTACATTTGGTAATGTTGGGCTATGTCAACCACAGAGAAATATTGCCACTAGGAATAGTTTGAATATTGTCTTTTTCCAGGGTAGGAACAGCTATAGAGAAGATGCACTTCCTAGGTCCCATTAGATAGTAACGTTTAAGGGAAAGAATCGGGAGCATGTCCCTATCCAACCTGGTGGGGCAGATATATACCCTCAGGGCAGATACCCTGGTATATGAGAGCAAACCCCACTCCCTTTTAGCACTGATTATGTTACCTAGTTGTAGTGATATGTTTGCAAGAAAACAACCAAGCTTAGAGAGCACCAAGGACCCAACAAATGTTCCACCATACTTATAGATTTTGATATGTCTTCTTCTGACTACACCACGGGTGACAAACTCGATCAGTCACATGACGTATCGTGATGTATTGTGACTTTTTTGCCTTTGCGAAGCCAGATGGGTGTGGCCTGCGTGTAACGCATCCGGCCTGCAGGCCGCCAGTTTGACAGGCCCGGACTACACTAAAGACTTTGCAGAGAAGGTTTTGCAGAAAAGGAACTGGCTCAAATAACTACTCACCTGTAATTATTATTATGTTAGATTTTTTATTTTATATTTTCTCTGTGTGTGGAGAGAGAGAGAGAGAGAGAGAGAGAGGGAGGGAGGGAGGGAGGGAGGGAGAGAACCAAACCTAGATTTCAACCATAGTTTGCAGGAATCAGCTGGGTTGCAAAGATTGGTAGTTTAGCTATATTCGTAATATTATAATAACAACACAACAATAATAATAATTTTAAAAAGCTGGAAGGGACCTTGGAGGTCATCTAGTCCAATCCCCTGCTCAGGCAAGAAACCTTATACCATTTCAGACAAATGGCTGTCCAGTCTCTTCTTAAAAACTTCCAATGTTGGCGCATTCACTGCTTCTGGAGGCAGGTTGTTCCACTGGTTAATTGTTCTAACTGTCAGGAAGTTTCTCTTTAGTTCTAAGTTGCTTCTCTCTTTGAGTAGTTTCCATCCGTTGCTTCTTGTCCTGCCTTCAGGCGCTTTGGAGAATAGCTTGACTCCTCTTCTTTGTGGCAGCTCCTGAGATATTGGAACACTGCTATCATGTCACCCTCGTCCTTCTCTTCATTAAAATAGACATACCCAATTCCAGCAACCGCTCCTTATATGTTTTAGCCTCCGGTCCCCTAATCATCTTTGTTGCTCTTCTCTGTACTCTTTCTAGAGTGTCAACATCTTTTTTACATCGTGGTGACCAAAACTGTGTGGCCTTACCAAGGCATTGCAAAGTGGTATTAATACTCCACGTGATCTTGATTCTATCCCTCTGTTAATGCAGCCTAGCACTGTGTTGGCTTTTTTGGCAGCTGCAGCATACTGCTGGCTCATATTTAAGTGATTGTCCACTAGGACTCCGAGATCCGTCTCACAGTTACTACTATTGAGCAAGGTACCACCTACACTATACCTGTACATTTGATTTTTCTTGCCTAAATGTAGAACTTTACTTTTTTCACCGTTGAATTTCATTTTGTTAGATAGTGCCCAATGTTCAAGTCTGTCCAGATCCTCCTGTATCTTAAGCCTGTCTTCTGGAGTGTTGGCTATTCCTGCCTGCTTAGTGTTATTTGCAAATTTGATGAGTTCCCCATCTATCCCCTCATCCAAATCATTGATGAAGATGTTAAAGAGCACTGGGCCTAGAACACAGCCCTGGAGCATCCCACTACACACTTCCCTCCGTGTAGATGCAGTTCCATTGAGGACCACATGCTGAATACGGCCGGTCAGCCAACTACGGATCCATCTGGTGGTGATGCTGTCTAACCCACATTTTTCTATCTTATCAAGTAGTAGGTTGTGATCTACTTTATCAAATGCCTTACTGAAGTCCAAGTAAATTATATCCACAGCATTCCTCTGGTCCACTAATTTTGTCCCTTGGTCAAAGAATGCAATAAGATTTGTCTGGCATGATCTGTTTTTGACAAACCCATGTTGGCTTTTAGTAATGACTTTGTTTGCGTCTAGGTATTGGCTGATTTGTTGTTTGATTATCTTTTCCAGAATCTTCCCAGGTATTGAGGTCAGGCTGATAGGTTTGTGGTTTCCTGGATCAATTTTTTTCCTTTTTTGAAGATGGGAACTACATCAGCTCTTTTCCAATCCTCTGGTAGTTCCCCAGTGCTCCAGGATCTTTGAAAAATATAGTTCAGTGGTTCTGAGATCACATCTGCCAGTTCCTTGAGAACCTTGGGGTGTAATCCATCTGGTCCTGGTGATTTGAACACATCTAAGGTGGACAGATGCTCACTTACCATTTTCTTGCCTATCTTGTGTTTCTATTCTGTTTTTTATGGCACTGTTTTTGATAGGTTGGACTGTTTTTTCCCTTTATGTAAAAAACGAGACGCAAAAAACGAGTTAAATAGTTCTGCTTTCTCCCTGTTGCTTGTCACCTTCTTGCCACTTTCCCCCACTAATGGACCAATCATTTCATCATCTTGTTTCTCAACAGGACAAAAAGAGCTTTGCAGGGTTATGTAGAGTGAATAGTTAATCAGAGATCAATTGTCGGGGAACTGGAACAGTGACAAAGTGTTAAAACCTCTTTCCCCAACTGCTCCAATCCAAATAATCCCAACAATTGTTTGATCTTTCTACTGTTGTTGAATGAAGGCAGCCATGGATGAAACTAGAAAATGTCTCATCTGTGGTGGAAGGAATTTGTTTATAGAATGAGGGTGCTCAATTTTACTTTCAGCCCAGACTGTTTCATGTAAAGGGCAATTTGTTCAGCTGCTTTTTAAACAATAATGACCATTCAATAAAACAATTTTGCCATAATACAAATATGCCATTATCTTTCTGAATATGACTCACCTTCCCTTTAATAGCATTTGTGTTGCTGAGCTTTTATTGCTGACAAAATTGTCCGAATGTAATCTTTAGCCTGAAGGCTGATCTGTTCAATTCAAAATGGTTAATTTGAGAAGTCTGTCAAAATATCATTATATGGTAATTATTCTAATGTCCCAGTTGCATTGTTAATAAGGAAGATCAGACATTTCTAGGTAAGTTCATTGATTCCAGTTCCCTAAGTCTATTAACAATTCCCATTCCAACCCATGAATTAGTGCATGATATATAAGGAAGCGCCCAGAAAAGCAGCGATGCCTGGCCACAAAAAGAGGGCACGATATGTAGGAACAAATATTGTATAATATAGTCATTCAATAAATCTCATCAAAATAGGGGAGATAATATGCTTGCTGTTCAGGTGCTCACTTCGCCCTCTTTTCCTTTCCCTTATAGTCTATTTATTTCAATAATATGTAGAGTGGAAAAGAAAAGATGCTTCTCAAGGAGAAGACATTTTCTAACAATTGAATGTCCTTTGACAGCCTCCAAGTAAGGGACAAAGGCTGTAAAGAAGAATAAATGGCCACACTATCACAAACATGGAGCTGAATCAAAACAAGCTTTCCTAGGTTTTTCAGATATTCATTTGATTAAAATCCAAATACAAACAATCTCACAGTTGCAGTAATGTTATTAGAGCATTAATTCTTGGACACCTGTCTGCTAAGAGAGAACTTATTCTCCAAATGCCAAAAGAATACCACTTGCATATATGAGGGGCATTACTAATAGATTTGCAAGGACAAAAGTTTTTAAAATTATCACCACCATCACCACCTTGATGGCATTCACAGACAAAAAAAAATCTTTGGCTCATGACCTTCGCTCTAAAATAACAAAATAATCAGGAAAATATCTTATAAAGAAGCTCTGCTAACTCAGTATGAGTATTGCAAAATGCAGTATTCTGTTGCAAAACAAGATGCAGCAAGTGGTATAGGCAATCTAAAATATTTTTTAAAGGAAATACAATTCAACTTATACTGCAATAGTAAACAATATGAAAATATGGTACATTCATTTGAAATTCTGCTCTCTTAAAACAAATGGAACAAGTTATAGATTGAAATGAATCCCTTTAATTTTTTTAATGTAATAATAATTTCAAGTAGAATAGATTTTTGTGTTTTAATTTTTTTTAATTTATTCTATTTGTATGGCGCCCATTTCATAAGAGTGTGACTCTGGGCAGAATCCAGTTAACAGGTTTAGTTTTTAAAGAACATTACGCTAGCATGAATGATAATGGACTGTATATTTAATTGAAACCAACAGTGGATCAGTTTCAGGTTTTTTATATACTTTTGAAATGTTTCCACAAACATTAATACTTTAACTCCTATCGCTTTGTCTTTTACTTTCATTGAGATATAAACATTAACAGAGGAATTTACTGAACACAGCATAACTGACAGGAATTTGCATGGCAAACTAAAATGTTGCTGTTTGTTTAAAGCATTAGGAAAGACACAATCAGATTCTAAAGCTAATAATCCTTTTGCACATGGGCCAGGAAATTAAACACAGAAGAGATTTTTAGAAGAAAAGATAAACCGTATTATAATGTATAGTGGAACATTTTGTCACTAGACGAGGACTTAAATTCACATGACTTATTTTTATTTTATCATTCTAAATATAGTCTGATAAAAGTAGACACATAGGGACAACATATTAGATACTTACTTTCCCAAAATCATCACACACAGGATGTAAATTTTCAAATGTCCAAACTCAGTAAACAAAACCTTAACAATTTAAGAATGTAAGTCTGATGTTTCTCGGAGTACAGTATGGCATAATCCAAATAGAATGGAAAAATATATCAGCTGATCCAAACTACCATATTCAGGAAACCTATGTCAGTGTGAAAGAACTGATCTAGAATTCTCCAAGACATTTAACTTTTCTATAGCTTGAATCTTGAACAAAGACTTCCTATTCTCCATATCATAATGCATGTATTAAATTGAATTATAATTTAACAACATCTGGAAGGGCCACACCAGGCAAAACCATTTCTTATATTGGATTAAATAAACCTAGGATCCAACAGTCTTTGTTAATGCAATGTTGGATAATCTTTGCAGTAAGCACAGCCTATTTTGATTTGGTTACCTTCGAGACCGCCTCCTGCCACAGATTACCTCCCACCGACCTGTACGCTCCCACAGAGTGGGTCTCCTCAGGGTGCCGTCAGCCAGACAGTGCCGGCTGGCGACCCCAAGGGGGAGGGCCTTCTCTGTGGGAGCACCCACCCTCTGGAACGAACTGCCCCCAGAGATCAGGGTGATCCCTGATCTCCCTTCC